CTAAGCGATTTGATCGGATCAATAGTTTTTGAAATATTGATTTAAATGTATGCCAAATATGGATTTTTGCGGGGATACCTACTCGCAAAAAGTCGGAGGCTCGATTTTCACGATAGAGCTATAGTTCTTTGGGCAAAGTTTCTTAAAACGACCCGTAGAACACCGCTAGGATAGGTAAAACATCGATTTTTTTTGCTCCCTACAATTTGACCCGCCCTAGTAGACATATAGATCAGCTATGAATAAACCGAAGACACCGAAGAAAAGAACTAATTTTTGTTGTATGAGATAAATTAAATAGGCGTTAATAGAATTTTAATTGGAGCTCATCAGCTTAAAAAACAGAATGATCGTTTCGGCTATTTTCATTCTCGCATAGCACTTTTTGATCTGTTCTGTCACTCCATTAGCATCTAAGATATTACTGCTAATGCTGCACGTTCTATAATCATATATGATGTTAGTGCTCTTCTTTGGTTATATTAAACAAAAGCATCTTCTGACTATATAGTAAATTATTGTGCGACATCTTTTATCAGTTGTTTTGTAGTATACAGTATTAAAGGATGTATCCTGACTTTGAAGAAATTTTTATTGCTTTTATAAAGCTCCTATAATCCGTAGAAGATTATAAGATGAATATACTATTTGACCCAATACCACACCATAATACATAACTTTCGGAAAAATTGCGCTCGGAGTTGGATAGTTAGCCATTTCAGTGCCTGATTTAATACGTTTATCATATGGTTTCAAAATTCATACAGATAACTTTTTAATGGTTAGAATTTCCTCGACTGAGAACCATTTACGTTGGATAAATGGTTTGGTTATAGGATATTGACTAAAATTCCGTCAGAATTTACAGTTAGCAGATCATTCAGATCATGCAGTTAAAAGAAGTTATTCAGTGATCTATATACTTTATATATTTTTTTAGTCTATAAATGCCAATTCAGATTTGTATAAACTAAACTGACTATAAATGGCCTTTTTCAATTAAAAACTATATTTGATTCGTCAAATCCTTCATTAGTAATAATGGTATCCAATGATATCCAATGCACACTCTCGAATCGATAAGTTTTGGTTCTGCTTTAAATATTGACACCAAATTTGGTTTGTTGTGGTGTTAAATCAAGATGAACTAATTTTTTAATTAAAAGTTGTTACAAAGCTGATTTAGATTATTTCGACTGTTTTTACGGTGATAGCGATAATTACCTAAAAATAGGATGATTATGCGACATTACAGTTAATTAGGAGCGATAATAAAGGAGAGGGGCCATTTTGTGATGAAGGTGAGTCGAACTGGGCATCTTCGAAACCTTAGGACCAAAAAAAATTAAGTTATTAGCACTTTCTTCTCCCATTGGGAATGTGCACTTTTCGTCATTTTCCAGAGGATTTGGCATAACTTGTGAAACATCTCCTAACCACATTTGCTAACCTAGAACCTTGAGCATAGTTGCATATGAAAGAGCGTATCAGACTCTATATAGTTCGATAAAGAAGAATTATGCAACATCTTAGATTCTTGAGAAAACGATTTCTGAAACTCGGTTTTCTGGAAAACCTTTCTTCTTCACTATACAATCCAAAAATCTTTTAACTGTCCCACTCGTATCGTATTTTCTACGATATTTTTTGATAAAATATGGTAGAAACTTGACTATGCCACCTCATTTTCTAGACAACTGAACGGACTATGTAATGGGACAGTTACAAGATTTCTGGATTGTATAGTGAAGAAGAAAGGTTTTCCAGAAAATCGAGTTTCTCAGAAATCGCTTTCTCAAGAATCCGAGATATTACATAATTCTTCTTTATTGAACTATACAGAGTTTCATGCGCTCTTTCATATGCAACTATGCTCAAGATTCTAGGTTAGCGAATGCGGTTCGATGTTTTACAAGTTAGGCCAAATCCTCTGAAAAATGACGAAAAGTGCACATTCCCAATGGGAGAGGAAAGTGCCAATAACTTTACTTTTCGAGTCACTTGGAGGCTTACGGTTTCCTCCATTCGATTCAACTCATCGAGCTCTACAAAATGAGGCAAGCCTCGTCGCTGGCATCAAATGACGATGTAATGGTGGTAGGTTTCATATAGATTGAATCAAATTCGATTCATTGTGAAAGCGCTAATTTTCATCTGCTGCCTATACTATTACACTTTTTTTTTCAAATGTCTTTATACCAGATTGTAGCCCGTGAAACGCTCTATTAGATGGTATAGTTAGTGAAGTGGCGTAAAGCAAAAATATAACCATAAGACTGCAGCTACGGAGAACAGATCTCGCATCTCATATAGTAGTAAATGCTATTTCGGTTTTTTTCTGCTCAAATGCAATTAGTTTTCAATGTGTTATATATAGAAATGTTACCGAGGAAAAGAGCTTTCGAGTGGTATATAATAGATGTGATTAACTATGACATGGAACGACAAAGCATAGTAAATACGATTTTCACTACATTCCGAGCCGAGAAAATATTCAAGTGACAGAATTCACCTTGAGAAGTAGTCCTAAGGTTTCGAAGATGCCCAGTTCGACTCACCCACTCACATTGTACCTGCCCTATGAATACTTGTAGTATTTATTCACATGGCATGGCAATAATTTTTCTGAAGTCACCTGTTTCCAATTTGAAAACCGATTATTAGCAACAACAAACAATAATTACAATAAAAACAAATAACAACTTATCTGATGGCTTACTGTTCCTAGCCTATGTATTTTATTTTTCACACTTCTGATGCTAATCTTAATGTATCTGTTGGACTATTCGTTGTGCAATGTACAATATTTGGCAATAATTCAGTTTTATTCGTTAATAATTGCTTTGTTTCTTTGAGAAATGAACCATTTTTATTCAATATTTGTTCGTCAGTAATTCCAATTGAGTGAGATGATGATAAATGGTAGAGATTATTATTGTTACTATTTGGAGTGGGATGATTCAATTGTTCTTCAAACAGATCAATATTGAATAAAATATCTTTACTCGAAAACATTTCTTTTGATGGATGATAAGCATCCAGACATAGAGAACGTTGCCATTGGTGACGTAAAATATTTTCATCATTTGTACCGTTTGACAATGTTTCAAACATATGATCACGATCAATATCTCTCGTTTGAATATAATGCATATATTCGTCTAAACATACATGTGAAATGAAATTTTAATAATTTTAAGTTTCATGTTATACATACCTGCTGTTTCACGAATAGATCGTTTATCATTGGGATGTTCTTCTCTGACAATAATGGTTTGTGCGTGTCCCTGAAATCAAAGAAAGATACTGTAGTTAAACTAAATTAATATCATTGTATAAAATATACCATCATTTTTGTTGAATTATTTTTTGTATTCAAATGTGCATCACTTAAACCATATTTTTTTCCATATAATAAATAATTTTTTGTTGCTAAACACATTCGAATTCCTTTCAAACGACAAATAATAAGAGTTAACACTAATGTACCGATAATAAACAAAAATGATAAGGCAAATAATGCTAATTCAATGGGTCTCACAGGTAGCCACGAGCGCCGTTCATATTGAAGAGACATTTGATGTTGATCTATAAATAAATTTGGTTTAATGTCACTTACAATAACGAGAACACTAACATTTGAACATAATGATGGACTGTTTTGATCACATAATTTTAATCCAATACGATATTTTGATACATTTGATAATTGTTCATCGATTTGAACAAGAAAATCAGGTTTATTACTAGAAGAAGGAATGGTAGTAGTTGTAAAATCAAATAATTCTGATTGGGTATCATTGTCATTTGAACGATGTCTCAGTAAACGTGGTAAATTATTATCAATATCATTTGTAATGTTTAATTTCACTGTACACGTCATATTCTGTTTTTCACCAATATCAATAGTGACATTTAGTATATATTGATTTTGTTTTGTTTGATAATCAATAGGCGATTTTAGCAATAATGTACCATTTTTTGAATTAATTTCAACAATAAACGAATTTACTTGTGAAATAGAATAGTTTTTATCTATATTATCATCGATAACTTCTAATGTTCCAATAACTGTTCCAACAGGTGCATCATCTCGAATTGTAAATGTTGTATTTTTACTACAAAATGGAGTTGGTGGTGAAATATACTCGATATTCAATAGTGTTGATGAATTAATACGTGGACTCAAAGCATAAATAGATAACTGTTGACTGGTGGATGGTGTATTTATAAAATGCAAAAATCCATTTTGTTTATCAATAGTTATATAGGAATTTTGTTCAATTTCATAAACAATTGGTATTACTAATGGATAAAAATTTGTTGCGTGTATACGTGGAAGATGATGTGATCGAATTGTTGTTATATTGTACATGTTTGATTCAAATTTTGGACTCCAATCATTATCATTTGTTAAAATGAGTTTTATTTCAAGATTTGTTAACCATTGTTGTGATAGTGTATGTTTAACACCAATTGTTAAAGAATAAACTTTGTTCGTTAATAATTGACGTGTTTTCAAAATATATTGATTTGTTTTTACAACGGATGTGAATTGAAATGTAGTTGTATGCGTATCAAGAGATAATGTAAACGTATCATTTAAATAAAATTGATTACGAATTGTTAATTTTAACAATGGTTGACCGATAAATACTAGTTTATGAACAATAAATGTTATGGGTGATAAATTATTTACTTGTAGCATTTCACTATCCGATGCTAATATTTCAACATTAACGTCAGGTTTCATCTTTGACTGATCACGAAAATTGATCTAGAATAACGAAGAAATTTTATCAGGTAATTTCAGTATACATATGTCATGCCATTTAGAATATGAAAACTTTTGATTATGCTAATGTGATACCGTGAGACTTTTCTTTTTTGTCCAAGTACTCTGGCAAGTACAAATAATCTGTGAGTACCTGTAGGAGGTTCCACAAATAAATCAAATATCGGACAAATAGTTTCATGTACTTAAGCAAGTAATAACCAAGTACCATTTTATGAAAACACTTTCGAAGTACCCGTAGAAAGTCATAAGTAAGCAAGTATCCGATGACTAGTACATTCACTAGAAAATTGTCTCTTCTACACTATAAATGAGATTCTTTCAACAAACAAGTATAAATCATACTTTTGCTTGAGTTTGGCTTCGTAGTGTCGATGACGAAGATGATTGTTCGTTATTCGACGCTTCAATTGTTAATTGAATATCGTTATCGTCCGAAATTGTAACGTTTGATGATGCTATTAGTTCACCAGTGAATAAACCAATTTGTACACCATAAGATGGTCCAATAATTGAATATCGTACAATTCCATTAATTCCTTCATCGTTGTCATGTGCCAAAACTCTTCCAAATATTAGACCTGGTTGAGGTAACGATCGATTTTGTGTGGTTGATATATATATAAATTCATAATATTTTTGAGTGAATATCGGTGCACTATCATTAACATCGTCAATTTTAATAAATAATTTCATTGAACTCTGTAACTGTACTTCTTGTCCATTATCCACAGCGTATAACATTAAAATATATTCACTTTGTTGTTCTCTATCAATATTATCGCCAATAAATTTTAACGCCAATTGATCATAGGTAATCGATGTTTGTGCTAATATTACTAATTCAAACATTTTACAATCTATTGATACTGGTAATTTGTATGAATAATGATTCCATTGACGTTTTTCAAATGTATTACTACAATCAAGTATATAGCGTATTTGTCCATTGACACCTTCATCATAATCAATGGCACCTTGAAATGGAATTTTATAACCAACCGGTACATTTTCTCGAAATACTAAATGTAATTCATCCTTGGCAAATTTTGGTTCACAATCATTAACATCGAGAATATGCAGAGGAATAACCCTAAAGAATAATATTGTATCTTGATAATACGATGACTTATATAACATTACACTGTAAGAAAACAATGTGTCCTGGAGAATGTGCCACATTCAGATTGTGTCGTGTTAGACGACACATGTGAAATGCCGTAACAGGAAAGTGCTGCGCACGTAAGCACTTCTCTGAATATCCTGCACAACGGCGCATAGAATATACTTTGAAATATGTCACATTAACCAGTGCTTTACAGAAGAACACATCGAATAGTGCCCCTGTAGAAGGCATATTTATTATGCTCTGTTACATGATACATTCTAATGTGACCTCTGATAAGACGCATTCAATGTGTCCTGTTGTCTATTCATTCATCTTTTGGTTTCAAGGAAGCACATCTATAGAATAAATTCAAAATCTGACGTATAAAATCGAAGAGTTTTTCAATATAATTCACTTAATATGTTGTGGGTGCATATCCAATGTGTTCTCGTAGACGGGACATTTTTTTGCGATGAATCGAGCACAAATTTTGGACACATTACACAATATATCCAATGTGTCGTCTACCAGGGCACATTCATGTGCCTTTATTAATGTGTCCAAAATTTATGCTCGATTCATCGCAAAAAATGTGCCATCTATAAGGGCAGATTTTTTTTTTACAATGTATAACTTACCAATACTTTAATCCGTCTTGTACTAACAAATGTAGTTCTACAAGACATTGTTGTTTATCACAATAGTGATCATTAACAAACTGTTCTCGATCAATTAATTTCTTTATTCTTATACTATTATCCGATTTATTTAATGTAAGATAATTTAATTCAAAACCGGACATATTTAATAACATAATTTTATTTTGATCAACTGGTAATTGAATAACGAGTGTATCCACTGGTGCATTCTCTTTTATATTAACAACTGGATAATTTGTAATAGATGTTGAATTAACGACGTAAACAATTAATAAAATGAAGTAAAATTGGATAAAGATCATTTTATAATCTAAAAATTAAAAATTAATTTGACCATGTTACAGCTACCATTTCATTCAATAACTAACAGGAGATTATTAATACTTGCCTATTAAATAGTTTTGATAGTGTTTAAGCATAATGTATGATCTTTTTCTGGTAAACAATTAATTTCCAAAAATATGTAACACTCATTAGTGACCTGTTTACTAATCGGAACAACAATTAAAATATAAAAAGTATTTTTATTTAAGTGTTGCTGTTGTTTTATCTTCTTCCGGTTTACATAAACTATATGATGGTTTTGGTTGATGTTGAATTTCACCTAACATCAATTATTTTGCTTTAGAGTTAAATCAAATTAATCTCTCTCTCTCTCTCGTTCTCTATCCCTCTCTCGTTACATAAATCTTTTTCTTTCTCACTCTTATTTTTAGTTAATTATTCATATAGGAAAAAAAAGCACGTACAAACAAAAATAACGTAGCATTATTGTTTCTCTTCTCTCAATTAAGCGGCATCCTTTTGTCTGTCAGTTAAAAAATTGGTCAATATTTCCTCTTTCTTTCTCTCTTCCCGATTCACGTTAAATAGTTGAGACTGTTGTTGTCGTCTTCATTACGCACTTTGACTTCTTATCAGTTATTACGGATCGTGTGTGTTAAAACGACATTTTAGATGATAGAGAAGCACATACGATGTCAATATTTGTATTGAAACACGTCGACACTTTGTAATCATTAGACAGTATAGAGATTAATTAATAATCAAAAAGAGAGTGACAATATGTTGGTTGGTTGCGTGTACCGTTTGTAAAATCGAAGCACTTTATTAAGTTCAGTCTTGTCACACTATTATCACAAAGTCTTCATAATAGTTATAATCTTTCTTTTTTGTCTACTTATATTTTATGTGAGAGAAGATTTTATACGCACCTCTTGATTTCGTCGTTACAAATTAAACTATTGATAACAGATGGATCCATACAGATTATAAGTAAACCGGGAAATTGATAAAAAGAGTTCAATTAATCGCTATTTTGAACAATGAATAAATCAGAAACAAGCTGTCATTAACCGGAAAAACTTACACCTGTTCGATCACTTGATGTATACGAGTTCAACATTAAGTAAAAACTAAGAGTATGGAACATTTAACTAGTAAAACAAATAGTGGTGAAACTAACTTATTTAATTGGAAGAACACAAACATATTTTAGAGAGAGTAGAAAAAGTTTTTCCCTTTATTTTTTAATAAGGTTGAACGATTGTCCTCTGTAGAATGAACTTTCTCTGAGATTTAAGAAGGATAAACTCTGTCATCATTTTATATTATACTTTTCTCATATATTATCAGCGTGTCGCGCAAGCATAAACGTCAATCAGAGATTGAGGACAATGGAAGAAAAAAAAGTAAAAGTAGAGAGTGTACATCTCCTCACCTACATCCTGTCACCACGGACCTGCAAACATCTCGCTGAAAAATCATGATATTTATAAAAATTAATGTCAGTTGGAACCGAGTTTCCCTTCATTATAAGTGAAAATAAATTCTAAATATATTTATAGAATTAAAAATCATTTCTTCTCGATTTTAAAGAGATAAAAATGGCTTCGATTTCATTTCGCTCTATGGTGCAGATCTTATAGTTAAAATAATTTAGCTACAACTCTAGGAGACTTACCAAATGAATTATGTTTTCATCCTATTGTCAATGAGTGTATTCGTTCTATCTGTTGGATATCTCATCTCAATCAAAAACATTTAGTTTAACAGTTACAAAAATGACTGTCATAATGGCATGTTCTATTGCATACTTAATACTACACATATTTGACTCTCTCTATAATAATCGATTGCCAATAGGCACTAATTGGATTTCAAAAATAAAGGAAAAAAAAAAGTGAAAATAGACAAACGTATTCTTAAATGTTCATAGGTGTGAATAAGAAGAGACATACACACACGTTTAAAGAACAAGAGAATAAGATTGATTGAGAAAATTTAAATGTTTAGTGAAGAGGAAGAAGTGAACATTGTCAATACAATAGCTGCCAAAATATAAAAATGAACTGACGAAATGGAATGCCTGTGTTACCGGATGTCAATTCTTTATATGGCGGCTGTATAGAGATAATTTACGCCACTAAACGCAAAAAACAACAACTATAAATTACAGCAGCAGTGTTAGTTAGATACATTTCCCTGATCTACAAAAATACAGACGATCAAAGTAAAAGAGCGCCACAGTTTTTTTCTTCTTTTTTTTTGTTGTTTTATTAATTATATTTTCTTCAAAAAAACTATTTTCTTTCTATTGTTCTCATTAAACAAATGATATTAGCAGATGAATCCAATGAACCATAGACCAACGAGAGATGTATACCGCGCTTCAAATTTACACTGCACCTAGCATTAATAATGATGAAAACAGAAACAGTCGTTGTATTTTTTCCATAATAAATACAGACAATCAGCCATTATATATATATATATATCTTTACTTTTAAATCATAAAATATTGATGAGTAGTTTGTGTTTCATGTTTGCCATGGTTTGATTTGAGTTTGAGAAAGTGTTATATGGGTACAATCTGTGTGTCTACACTTGTTTTAGATTAATTTTGTTACAGTGAAGTCGAAACAAAAATAAAAATCTGATATCAACAATTCGTTATTGTAATTTTTGATATTATTATATTGTGAAGTTCAGTTAAATGCGTAAAAAATATTTTGATTTATTTATTTGACAGTAAGTGTTGATCGATTTTGTAATTAACAGCACGATCATTTATAAAAGTGCAGGTGAATATTAAACATTATGTTGCTAATTAGAAATATCCGGTCGGTAGATAGATAATTAAATGTATATAAAATATCGTTCACGTATATGTCTTAAAAAGAGGATATAGAAAAAAAGTCTTTTTTTTGTATGAAAAGATTGATGCATGTATACTTCGATAGAAAATATTGAAAACAGATGTTCACAATCCCATATTAGCACAATTGTGCAAAGAAAACACTGGAAAAACAAGATAATACGATATGGTAGCTGTTTCTTCTACAAAAGACATCGGAGTATTTTGATATTTTACATAAAATCATTCTACTACTAGATGATTTCTGACCTAGCAGTGGGCAATGTGAACATCGCCTCATCGATCCTATATAACCCCATCGAATATATATTGATAGCAATCAGTGATTGATATCAATATATGTTAGATGTGATTTCACGCATAACAAATCGTACCGCTGCAAACAATTTCAGAATGAAATTGTGATGATCAAGTTAAAACTGCCATTAGATAAATAATAGTTTCTCCTGTATACTAGCTTGAAGTTTAAGGTGAACTTATTTTAATTATAGATTTATTTTGGTTGATCACACTATCCACTTGAGAAGGTTATTTTTCTTTTGTTTTTTTCAATGTTTTTTATGTAACGTTATACATGTAGACGTAACTACAGTCACGCTCAAGCAACTTTTTTTCTATCACTCACGGTATTTACCTTGTCTCTATCACATAAAACGGTTTGGTGTTTATGTTTATTCGCCACGTTTACTAAAATGATGCGCTATTCAAAAGTGTTTTTTGCTTTATGTCTAATTCTTATTTGTTCAACGATACAAGCCGGTGGAAATGTTGATGAAAACAAGGATGACACTGAACATGACCATTCTGAACACGACCACGAAGACAGTGATTCTGATGACGAATTAAATGGACATGAAGGCGATGTAGTTTTTGAGGGCGATGACGATGATTTCAGTGAAGAGGATGATGATCATGATACCGATGATCATGATGGCAGCGAATTAAGATAATTGTCAAACATTAACAATTTGATATTGATCAAAAACAAATTATATCCGTCAGTTCACCGGGGATAGGTAGCTCTAACTTTGATTAGAATTTTTATGTCCTAGTTCGTTTTCTTCTCCTATATTCTATCGACTGTTGTTTATTTCTTTTTTGTTTATAAGAGTACGCACACAAAAAAAAGAATCGTTTTCGCACTTCAACAATGTTAGTTCGCAACAGCCAGCTAATGTCATCGATGCATAGGGCATATAACTGTGGCTTTTCACAAGTGGCTTCCATCTGACATTATTGATTTTAGAGTAAAATGGATAGGCAGATCTGTCTGTATGTGTTTTGCGCCTTCCCACTACATGGTTCTTGAGAAGCGGAAAAAGTTTGATCGATCAGTATCTGTGGGATATGCGCATAATAAACATGTACTCTCCACTAAGTGTCGGCTTTTCAACAACCTCTTCCATCGTTGAATGTACGAGATCATTGTGCATTTACACATGTACCTGAAGTCAGTACGTTTTTTAACAAACTTTCGCTATTATTTCTCTTTTGACGATTAGTTTTCGTTTCGTCGAAAACTTGCACTCATACCGCTGCGAAGGTTTTTTGAAATTCTTTTGAAGTATATACTTTTACACTTACTACTTTTCGAAAAACATCGAAAAATCACCGATTTTTACAGATTCAATACTGATTTCTGATCGGTCGATAAACGATCGATTCGATCCGATTCTAGTTTTTTCAATCGATTACAACTGTGGCCTACCCTTCAAAGAGTTTTACTCGTATTTACAGACCACCCACCCAGTGATTCGATATAAGTTAAAGAGTAATATTCTAGAACTTCTGCAAAGATCTTTTTGACCACTAAGAATGCCATCATTTTTTCAATGACGGGCCTGGAAGATTGAGAGTGATCTCATTTTCTAATCCCGGCTTACCACTATATTAGACTATGCACTGAAATCAAAATCGAAATTTTTTTCAAAAAGAAGCATAATACTCTTAAGTACATATCCTGATTCATTTTCGCCTAAAAATTCGAAAATTCTTTTTACAAAAATGTATAGTATGGACTGTTCTGTTCCATGTGGATACAAAATTACAAGTACACTCTTAAAAAAAAAGTTGTTCTTCAGGTTATCTTGAAAATCTAAACTCTTTATCACTTTTGGTTTACCTTTAGCAACGTTTTCACGAAGAGGCAAAAATGGGGAGAAAGGCACCTTTAATAAAAACGATTTCATTTAGAAAAGCTCAACTCTGAATTCAACTCACAATAAATATATAAGACAACATCATTTATAATTGATATTTGGAATAGTTTTCCTGTATTCAAATTTTTTTCTCGACTATTTCTACCTTAAATATACTACAAGCTATCAACGGATATATAAAGATGCGAAAAAATATACTTGCGTCCATGTAGTGTGATAATTGTTTTTGCATTTCTATTCTGTCTTGAGATTATGCCAGATAATTAGAACGTGATGAAATTTTGTTAAAACATTTGAAAACTAAACATTTTCACAAAAATTTTTTAACAAAATTTCTCACAAAAAAAAAAATAAATAAATGAAAAATGTTTGATTAAATATTATTGGCTTTTTCTACATAATGTAGCACGTATAATACAGATATATGAGTGCATACACACATATACCAATTTGTATTTATCGCATCGATGTACTTGCTCTTTGACTAACTGATTGTTGAGGTTGATGTTGAATTTGATGTACAAGTTGTTGTACTACACTTCCATTTTTCTCATGTTGTTGATTTGCCAAAGCCTGCTGTTGTTGTTGTTGTAATTGTTGCTGCTGTTTTAAATCATAACGATGACGAGAAAAACCTCCTTAAAAGAAAAAAAAACAGAAATATTACGATTTCTTTTAAAAATTTAAAAATTTATTTTAGTCTCTATACCCGCAATATGTCCTTGCGATGCACTTGGTTGTAATGAAAATTGTTCAGGTACACTAAGGCTATGGGGTGTAGTTGTTTGGTATACGGCATCGAATCCTGGTGCATAACTGGCATCAATCTAAAATAAAAGATCGATTAATAAAAAATAATTCATATATCCATTTATCAATAACTAACCTCTTTAGGATAATGTATATGATCATCGACATACGATTGATAATCATCATATGCACGAACTGGAGCGCCGATATCAGGTTTTATATTTTGCCGTATTGTTCTTACCTTTAAAACAATAAAAATGATATAGATGTACACTAAACATAGATAAACTATTGACATCTATTTACAAGATAAATGGCAATTATTGAGCCTAATGCAAAACCAACAAAAACATCTTCCCAATGATTATGATTGCTTGCTAATCGAACAACACCACATACAATCGATAAAGTAATTAATGATAAAATTAAAAATGGTTTTACAATACGAACACGTTCTATGGTCACTCCTCGATGTAAATAAATCTATGAATATATACATAAATACAATTAGTCAAATATTTTGATATATTTATTCGATATTACTTACAGCAAGAAAAATAGCACTATACATTGACAATGATGCATGAAGTGAGGGAAACGATAATCTAAATAAATAAAAATTCTAATAATTGTACATTTAATAGTTTATCTATTTACCTTGCTTCACGCATTACAGCCGTCATATTTTTTGATAAACAAACAAAATCTGCATCTGTCAAACCCATTCCATTGCATGATTTTTGATCCGGATTACATAATGTTAAAAAATATGGTCTTAATCTTCCAGACATAATTTTTAATATATCAGTTATAATTGTTGTTGAAAGTGCACCAAATATAAATACCGCTAAATAATAAAATGAGTAAAATATTAACTATATAAAAATATTATATACGTAAACATACAGATATATTTTAATATTTTTGCAAATGATAATAGTAGACATTCTTTTAATTTAATTGAAAAACGTGTTTTATATGAACTATAGCATAAAAATGATCGAATAAGCTCAATAATTGTAATCTAAAAAATATAGTATGATAATTACATTATAATGATATGATATAAATAATAAAAAACGAATATTTACCACTAATATTGGTATGAATAAACATAATGAATATAAAGCAATATTCGATAATAAAACATAATTCCTTTCCGTATTACCATCTTCATATGATTGATAATATCGAGGATCATCACATAAAAAGCGTTGTTGACGAACAGGAAATATATCAGATGCTCTAAAAAATATATAAAAAAATTTCACTAGAAAAAAAAAAAATATTTTGTCAAGTGTTCACTTGACTAAATTTTACATTATTACTGATAATCAGTTAATATGGAAAGGAAACACAAAAATTTACCGGAGAAGAAATGCAATAACGATAACAAATACGAGTACAATGCTGTCTAAAATTGCTGTAGCTAAAGCATATCGACCACCACCATGTTTGACATACTCTGTTGCTTCAGTGAGAGGACCACTTCTAAAACAAACGATAATAATTTAATTATTTTTATAAAATTTGTTAAGAAACTTACGTTCGTGATCTTGTATCCATATTTTAAAAGAGAAATTTTTATCGATGTCAAACTATACTCAGCGTGAACATCCTAAAATAATCGATAAATCAACTCAGTTTTGAATTGAATTGAATAAAAGATAGATCTGTTGAATTTTGAATGAATTGCTTCTAGTCAATCTTTACATTGTCAACAAAACATAAAATAATTTTAAATAGTTTTTAGTCATTTTATAGTATTAATCATTTGATTAAAGTTTTATATGTTAACATGAAGTTTTAAAAGAGAAATGTTTAAAAATATAAATTCGATTCTTTTTCAATTCAATAATAATTTAAGGTTAGTAGTGTTAATTTATCTTCGACAAGTTCTTCAAAAATGAATTTTAAAATGACAAATTTTATAACAGTAGTACTTACTTACCTGGACATATTGAAAATGTTCTTCTAAATGAACATTATCTCTCTTCTTATTCTTAAAAGTAACAAAAAGAGAGATTATCTAATAAAATAATAATAACAAATATTGAAACTAATATTTTCTTTTGGGGGCAATATATTTTCAGTAAAAACAAACCCCCCCAAACCCACAACGCTTTTTTCCATTTTTTATGTTTTTTTTTTTTTTTTTTTTTTTGAAATATAATTTTAAAACATAACTCAACTACTATTACTACTACTACTAGATAAAATTCTTTTTATTCGCGTATGTATCCATCTAACATTGTCGACAATTTAGCTTTCGGGTAGTTAAGTCTTAACAAACAAATGTGGGATGTTCTACTCTCTCTCTCTCTCTCACCGTTCGTTCGTTTACGTAAGACATCAACAAACAAACATTCAAATTGATCTCTTCATATAAATAAGAAACAAAAAGAGAAGAAAAAAAAAAAATTATCGTTGATTACGCAATGATGATACGATTATACTTACAATTGATCAAAGAACAATGAGATGAGTTGATTCCTGTTGGACTCATCTTATCGCATTATTCAGAGATATAAGAGTCACCATTTTATCATTTTTAGTTCAAATACATTCATTTATCAGATGGTTAGAAAAAGAATGAGCTCCTTAAAGATTTTTACAAGTATTGTAGTAACAGTAATAAATTATCTCGAAAATTGTTTTTAAATAATAATTATCGATGTATGATAGGGGACAATATACCATGAATAAAGTATCAAATTGTTATGTGGCTATTGGAAACACAAGGTTTCTTTGACGATTAATTCATATAAAAAGATTTGTTAGATCAATGATCTTATTTTCTAAATAAACTTTTTTAAATGACGATTTGAAAGGATTGGGTGATGTTCATTAAAAGAACTTTCATTAAAGCATTTTTTTAACTGAAAGTCTCGGTAATTTCATTAAAATGTCTCCTGCAAAGTGACTATGACCTGGAGCTTTTGATGGCATAAGAATTTCATTAAAAAATTTAATAAATTTCCTTTTAATGAAAACTTTTTTAATGAAACTCCGATATCCCGATTGAAATTCTTATATTTCCACTACTTATATCGTCGTGCTTTTTTAACAGCTGGTTTTCATATTGATTTAAATGAAACGTATTTTTGTTCCTATTATGAAAATTATATTAAAATGATAATCATTACAATTGTTGAATTACTCGTATATGAACATGAAGCGATGATACTAACCGATTTAGAAATAAAATGATATAAGGTTATGATTAGACAAAGCCAACTTCACCACGAAAATCATTTTTTCGCTTCTAGATTTGACTCATATTAAAGAGATCTGTACAATAGAGTATTTTCGATTATCACACTCATTTTTGATGGCGATATGTCAGAACGAATAGAAGTAGAAAATTCTATGCGTGAATATCAGAAAAACATTTTGAGATTTACCTCCAGTTCCTCCCCCAAAAAAATTTACTGTCACGGCTTCTAACTCATCCTACCATCTGAGATACGGCGATATTCTCTGCGTTTCCAGATTTTCCGTCACTTTCGGCCTAGTTCAATCTGAGATTGGATTAGTGACTACCCGAATAAAACTTCTGATTCTCAAGATATTGTGAATAGAATTTTCTAGATATTGAAGAACCCAAACATTTTAGGAGTCAATTTCTTCAAAATCTTTGGTGAAACATTTTTATTTCGTATGTGATTGTCACTTATTTACTGCAAAACATTTCCCGGTAGGGTCTGATTTATACAATTATAGTTTTTGAAAAAAACTGATGATTCTTTTGGGAAAGATTATTTTATATTGAGATCGAGAAGATGAGAGTAAGCCCCTCCCTAATATTCGCCACCGTGAAAGAAAACAGGAAGATACCTGGAGATCTAAATATATAAACATTTGAATATCAGAATATCTGAACATCTAGATATTATGTAATTGCAAATATTCACAAATTAGACCAGCCTCATATTTCGACTACAATGAAGGCATCCTCATCGTCAGATTCTCACGAACTGTATTTTTTATTCCTTTTTCAGTCGTTTTTTCAAATTTATTATGAATATAGAAATAACTTTTTACAAAGGTAATTATATATTCTGATAGCGCTTGAAATTCTCTATCATCCTGTACTTTGCTGGCCTTGACTTGCAATTATATGCTGACAAATATTTCGAATATTGTTAACGCACCCATGTATCACGTTCTCATAGATTACATTCCATGGTTCTTCAACTAACTCTTCTTTTGTTACAGACCACGAGAAAGAGCACATTCAGAAGTACACAAAGAAATGAGTTCTCACTTTTGCAACCCTCTCTAAAGGAAATAATAGTAAAACAAAAAGGTTCAAGTAAAAGAAAATACCAGCTTTTCAAAGTTTTCATTTTTTTTTCGTCTTTCATATAATCTGCGTAGTTTCCTTGATTGACGAAAATACTGAGAGGCCGCATCCGTTACAAATCCTGAGAATGTGATAGGTGAGAGGATTAACAATATTTAAAATTTTTGGTAGCAAATATTTTCGACTCCAGGCTGGGAGAGCAGAGGCTAACACAGAATTTCAAATGTTACCAGAATATATAATTATTTTTCTAAAATGTATTTGTATAGTCATAATAAATTCAAAAACACGACTGAAACTATCTTTTTCCAGGCGGATATAATAAAGAGTGCAGAGTGAAAGGAAAGATCAAGAATCACCATGATTTTGGCGCAAGTAGTTTCATCAAGGTTCTTTTTCCGTTTGAAATTGATCTAGTCTAAACTTCGATCAAAAAAGTTTGCACACTGACATATATAAAGAACGATAGTCACTTTTTTCGTTAAAAATAATTTCCTTTTTTACTAAATTTATAATGAATCTATAGAGTTGTTGTATTTCTGAGCTCTATTGTTTTTAAGCGAAAACTTTTTATTATATATACTGTACATAAAATGTAATAAATAAAAATAAAAGAAGGTTAAAATATCTGACAAAAATACTTTTTAACATTTTGTAATTTATCGTTACTTTACTCCACATTGTGGACCAATAATTCTATTTGTCCACATAACTTTACTATTTTTAAACGTTCTTCTTACGATTTTTCTACATGATTATGATTCATTTCATTGTGACGCTCAATTTGATTTTGATCAAAATGAAATGCTGGCATAACCCAATGTCCACATTCACATTTTTTTCCATCTAAACTATATTCACCTAATTTTGTTTGACAAGAAATACAATGAATATCGCCAACATTACTATCAAATACATCAATCATCCAGTCAGTATAATAGGTGAACACTTGTTTATCGCAAATTGTCTCATCCAATTCAAGTGGTTTTGTACTCCAATCCGATTTTCCTCGTCCTTGTTGATGATAAAATAGATCATTTCGTGTAAATAATTTATGCTGACACGTTTTACATTGATATTCAACTTCTTCTGTTTCTAAAGTCTTTTCTTCTGATTTGATTGGAAAACGATCAGTATCATCTATTATTTCTTTTTCTGTTTTTGTTATTTTATCGCTCTTTTCCAATCCATAATTGGTGCGTAAGCGTTCTGATTGAAAATCTTTGTATAGTTCATGTGTTTTATCGACAGCATAATTCATTTGATGATAAAGTTGTAATTGTGATTGAAATCCATTGTTTGGGCATACCATATGATAACAACGTTTATTCGATAATTTTTCAATTGCTTCTTCGTGTGTTAAAGTATATTTTTTCATAAAATACATGGCAACAATCGTGGCACTTCGACTAATTCCTGCCTGACAATGAATTAATATATTATGATTATTCTGAACAGCATTCTCGATAAAATGATAACATGTTTCAAATGATGACAATAAATCGTATGAACCAATATCTTCGGCTTCAATGTACAGTCGAATTCTTTTATCATCTTTATTATAAACAGGTTTATAATCGAGTATAGTCAATATATGAGTGATATTCAATTTATCCAACATAAATGTATTTTCAGCAGCTTCCAGATCTCCCAACCACACATGATCATCAACACAATCAGCACTGAACCTTATTGAAGTGGAAAACATCTAAATAAAAATATTGATCTTAAATAAAAAAACGATTCATTTCTCGTGCTTCTTTTTTCTCTTTAGATAAAATTATTAACATATTAGATTAGTTGCGGAGTGAAAATAAAGCTTGGCAATTAAACATCACTTATAAAAATGGAATAGAAATTTTCTTGTCAATATCATTGAACATAAAGAATCAATTTGAATAGATCAAAAATCATTTTATTAAAATGTTTCAAGAAAAGTCATATGTGATCAGTATCATGCAAATATCCGAAGATATGTCCAGAAATAAAGGAATATATTAAAATTTCTATTATCCATATAAAACGACATTGGCGACGTCTGTTGATGTTGAGTCAAGCTTTAGTCTAATTGAAGAGTGAGTTTACATCACTTTGATTGAAACAATTGATCAAATATATAACAAGCGAGTGTAAAATACGCTATGGCAGAAATATTGCATTTGTCAGTCGAAAACGAATCGACCTCGAATCGACCTGTGCAAGCACAAATCACATTCTTTTAATAAAAAACTTTAATCAAATAGGAAGTCTTTAGTAACCACGGGAATTAGGGTTTCTAACAAGAGAGTGTACACTCTGTTTCACGCCCCGTAAGAAAAAAACAGAGTATACACTACACACTCCGTATTTTTAATTTTCACTTTGTTTGCAGGTTTTTGTCAGCTTATGTAGAGAATACAACGTTTAGTGTCAAATGTGATTTTCACTTTTACTCTGTACTTGCCATGTGATTTTTATTTTGACTGTCTAAATTTGTCCTGATTGAAAAGTAAGATGGATTTTGGCTTTATGAGACATTTTAGTCTTGCTGCATTTTGTTTTGAAAAATAAAGGTTTGATACGAGACAACTCAAAATAATCACATATTATCATAAGTAATTCAATTTCTCTGATTCCATTAGAATCTTTTCATTTTTATGCACTGTTCAACGTCGTTTATCTGCTCAAAGAATATCTTTTAAATTTAAATTGCTGTCATTAAAAATTATATAAATCTGTTTTGGTGATAAGAGAATCTAAAAATAAAATGTATGTTTGTGTTTGAGTTAACTACATTCGGTAATTTGTGAAAACTTCGCAGTTTTTACTTCACTTGATTTCACCCATTATTTTTTGTCTGTAATTTGTCTGAAGAAAACTAAATTTACTATTACATTTGTCACAAAACTTTACTACATCTACCGCTGGCATGATGATGCTGAAGATCATATTGACGATACACATAATCTTGGTTTCCGAGTTGAATGAAATAACGTTGTATATTATTGTTGGCTGTCAATGTTTTTCTTCAGAGATAGGGTGATTTGTGTCCCAGTGTACAAAGATTCATCCAACCATTTACAAATACTAATTGATTGGATGAAAGTATAAAGTTTAAACATAAATTGAATAGGATTTTTTTCCCATCATTTTAATGCTCTGCTACAGTTATATACAGATATCCACTCTTTGTTAATTTAAAAGTCGTTTTATCCAATAGACTAGGAACCTCTAAACTTGAGCCTTGAATATCTCTTTAATTGTAACTCGACATAAAAAAAAAAAACGAAGTAACGAGATCCGATTTAATTCTTGGTCAAACTAAAAGCTTTCATCCAATGAATTGATAACACAAAAAACTCGAAAATCTGTAAATGATTAGACGTTTTCTGCATCAATTTTTTTCACTTAGTCACATGAGATACCGATTGGTCGAAAATTTCCAGCAATCAAAATTCTATTACTGTTACTGTCTACAAACTTATTTTCTTCAGAATTTCCACACAAAGCTTTCTCTCAACTAAGCGGCATCCTTTGGGTATTTATAAACGATGCCACTACCCACCAACACCCCAAAAGTGCGCGAGACCATCCTAGACCGATAGAGCGCGCCAAATAACCCTAAATCAACATCCACCAACACCCAGGTGAACCTAAACCTGACGTACCCTGAATGGAATACTATCACCAACACCTAAATGGACGGGTATTTACACCTGCTGATCCTCTCTACAGTATTTGGGATGCTGAGTTACCTTATAAACGTACGTACATCATATATTTAGCGCCTATACACCCTTCATCCACCTCAGAATACATCTAGATATACAAATTTAAAGGTCCTGACTATATATATATTACATCTGTGAATTATGACCTCAATTTATTCACCAAAAAAAAAGTTTCAGCAGAAGCTTAGTTATAAGTATTTCTCTCATCGTTTTATTATCGTTTTATACTCACTGACGCACACTACATACTGCATTCACAAGTCGAGCGCAGTGTGATTGCCACCTAGTTTTTTCTGTTTTTCTCGATGTTTTTGTGTAACGTTATACATGTAGACGTAACTACAGTCACGCTCAAGCAACTTTTTTTCTATCACTCACGGTATTTACCTTGTCTCTATCACATAAAACGGTTTAGTGTTTATTCGCCACGTTTACTAAAATGATGCGCTAATCAAAAGTGTTTTTTGCTTTATGTCTAATTCTTATTTGTTCAACGATACAAGCCGGTGAAAATGTTGATGAAAACGAGGATGAGACTGAACATGACCATTCTGAACACGAACACGAAGACAGTGATACTGATGACGAAAATTTAGACAACGCCGACGTTCATGAAGGTGATGACAGTGATTCAGACAACGATGTTAAACGTGATGTTGCTGAAGATACAAGCGATATCGGAGAAACTGACGATGACGGCTATGACGAAGACGATGTTGACGAATGAAACTAAGACGACGCATTAACATAATTGTGAAACATTAGGAATTTGATATTGAACAAAGACAAACTATATCGACCAGTTCACCGGAGAGTGATAGAAAAAAAGTTGCTTG